AAAGAACCTGTGCTATAGATTTAAACTAACTGTATATTTTGCAAGGCTGTGGTGGAAGAAGAACTGTTCATCTTTTCACTTATAACAGGACTCCCTTACTCCTGCACAAATGCACCAAGAACTTCTGTGATCCAGTATAACTCTACTGTTTACAATCAATATAAGAAGTTAGTTGTTACTATGATCTTAACAAACCTGCTCTTGTTTTGTGATTTATAGGTTTTGAAAGTTCAGTTAAGCTCACATAGGCAGAGAAAGAGATTCTGACATATCTCAGAATTTTAACATTCAAGCTCTAGCCAAATTATTGAAAACTGCAAGCATACTTCGTGCAGCCTCCAGGTCTTTCCTAGTCTCGAAAGATGCAATAGTGTTTAAAATTACTGGCAGTCTCTTATGTTTAGACACAACAGTTGTTTGGACTCCTGATACATCCAAAGAACAATTCCCATGCAGATATGTCATAAAGACGGCACAGGGCAAAACCCTCAGATATTACTCACTATGTGCCTCCCGCTTTGCCCTCTCCAAAAAAAAGTGACACCAGCAAAGGAAGATAAACAAGTCTGCATATACGCAGGTTGATCACTATGGTTGCTTAAAAATCAGTGGGAAATAGGAAACACTCGCTGTGACTGTCCTAACTGCCTATTTCAAAAGTAAATTATTAGAGAGAAAAAAAGGGAGGAGCTGCTACAAGTGCAATGAGGCACTTCACAGGAGGTAGGAGGTCTGAAGAACAATCCCAAGGAAATATGAAACCTTAGTGTTTTGGGAATGGGCTGTATAATTCTATGTATCAGTACAAACTGTATTTGCAATACAAGTATATTTAATGGTAATAGCATACATTCCCTTCTTATATATTGTTTCTATTATTACAAATAATGTGTTTTACCACTAAAAAAAAACTAGATCAGAATTCACTTATTCAACAGAGAAAATTGTACAAACAATATGAATTCTGTCATTTTCTTTGATTTGTTGATTTTGCACAGCCTTAGAGCAAGGAGTGCAATTTTTTACTCTGCTTTCTGTGGAACAGAATTAAGATGCTTTATTTATCAAAAAGCTCCTGAAAGACTTTGCTCTGTTTTTGCTATATTGTGGCAGAGGAAAAAAGGTAGGGAAAATTAAGTGAAAGGAAGAACTAGGAGGAGACCAGGTACGTCAAGAAGAAGCTGCAAAAGGATAGTGGGACAAGAAGAAAAGAGAAAGGGCAGGATGCAGAGGAGCATGCAGTGCTGCTAGAACTGAAGTGCAGAAACATTAATGGATGCAGCTGGCAAAACCAGCCAGTCATTAGAAGGTTGTTCTGTATGCAAAAATCCTGGGAATGACAATCTGAAATTTGGCACTAGACTTGTGGAGAAGGTATAAAGGAAGGCATGGGCTAAAACAATGCTGTTCAACCTCAGAATGTTTTATTAGGGGTAAAAAACACCTTATACCAGTTTGTAGAGCATTTAGGCACAAGTGCAGGGTTACATTGGGAACTTGCAGTAATCTCACATTATTGTGCTAATGCTAATACTATTGTCCTCTTGACCCAGTTAACACCAGTCATGACATTTCAAATCTTTCCCAGGAAAAGAAATTTGGTCATTATAAGAGCATAGGTATATACAACAAGCTCCACTGAAAATACTATCTCTTTGCTATAAGTAAGTGCAATTCTCTAATATAGGATTCTGTGATATTCTGTGGTTAAATATCATTCTGAAGGGAAACAGTCAAATAATGTAAGAAATATTTTCATAATTATATTTCATTTCCTAGTTATGTTGAGTAAACTAGCACCTTATCTTGCAGCTAGACAGCTCCCAGTGCCTGATTATCTAAACTAAGTTAAGCTTTGCTTGGGTCCTTCTAAATGACACTACATGTAAATAGAGCTTGCATTCTTTCAACAGATCCTAATCATCCTATACATTATCTGCATGACAATGAAGCATGTAGACTGCAATTGAGATCAAAGCATTGTGTGTTCAAGCCTGTACAGTGCATACTAAATACTAAATACATACTAAACACATACTAATACTAAATGTCTGCTTCTGTTCTGAAGGGATTGCAATTTAATACAGAAGAAATATTCCTATGAATGAAATAGTGTTTGAAATCCTAGCCATTTAAGTAATTTGATTTTTCAGGCCAATGGAGTTCTATCTAATCATCTGCAAAGAAGCAAAAGAATGGATCAGTAGCATTATGCTTGACTAAGACCTAACAGAGGACACACCAGAGCTGTATTCCTATTGTAATTTTTAACAATGAAAAATTTTCTACAACTGGCAAAAAGTCAGTTCATCGTCACCTAATAAAGAGAATAACTTTTGAAAAGTTAATAAACAGTAAGTGATCAGTCACCTCACTTTGACGAAATTTTCAGAGAAGCAGGAGCTTGGGTTTGAATCCTAAGAACAAAAATTAGGGACAATCAGAATGCTACTTCTGCTGAACTCCAAGATGAATGTCCTGTCACAAATTTTGGAGCTAGGGCTCAACTTCAGAGCAGTGCAAATGGTCAGCCAGTGACGAACGCAGCAGAATTCTCTGTTAAGTTACATCCAAGGGTTGGTATCGAGGAGTTACAAGAGTTCACATCAACTAAAAATACTTTTATCCTTTCCACTAAAATGAAGCTATTCCAATTTTAACAGCTTCAGCCTTCCCAAGCTCTGTCTTTAAAGGCAAAGAAATTAATTAAAAATTCTTCTCTTTTCCAGTCTGACAATTTTTAAATAGAAAACTACTGCCTCCTTTTTGCCATCTCACTGGACTTAGTCGCTCACAGTGCGCTTATGGACCAACTGGTGACATTAGAACTGGATAAGGGTATAATAATGTAGGTGGAAGTGTGGTTCAGCGGTTAGGTTCAAAGATTTGTCATCAATCATACAAAATGATACAAAATCTAACAGATAACCATCTGTTAGTTATCAGTGGCATCCGTCCAGAATTGACTGGGACCAGTACTGTTCAGTAACTTTATTAGTAACTTGAACAGCAGGATGCAATACTCCAATAATTAGAGTGAGTAACAAAGACAATAACAAATTAGGAGGAAAAGTGAAAATTCAGGATGACAGTACTGTTATTGACAAGTTGGATAAAGATGCTGACAAGAACCTCACAAAGTTCATCAACAGTAAATGAAAAGTCATGCACATGAGATCCAACAATCCCATGCAAGAGTATAGGCTAGGGGCTAACCATCTGGAAAAGAGATCTAGAGACCTTGTGAACAAGCTGACCAAGAATTTTAGAATGACATGATCCATGACATAGCGGAGATGTGGGCCTTTGAACCAAAAACTCAGGTATAGACCATGACTTTTCATGCAACTTTAACAGCCGGGCCAGTAAATTCAATTTAAGTGTAAACCAGCTTAGGTTTCTGCCTAACTTACGAAGATTATATAATAGGAATCATCAATAGTGATCAAACTGCGATCGCTATAACGTCATCGTACTTCCCTGAACACGCAGGAAATGTTAACCTGTGTATCTGAAACTACATAGCAACTGTTGATATGATTTTTCAGTGGCAAGCAATGTAATGATTCATAAAATATACTATTCCTCTCACTAATATATGTTTCTCCACTTGAACAGATAAAATAGATTCATGTGTATTATCCAGCGGTCTTTGCCTTACTATTTTAACATTACTATAATTATTTTCTAGTTACATCTCTAGCAATTTCTCTTTCATAACTTTTTCTCTTGGTATTTTGATAACAACTATTAGAGGTGATAACACCTTCATTTTTCACTGTGTCTATTTCTGTATATTCTGTAGTTGTAGCTATCTTCTCCTCATTTAAAAATTAAGATAAATTCTATATTAAATTATACTTCCGTAAAGTTACCAGAGGTATAACTCATGATCAAATGGCCAATTCTTTTCCTCAACATGTTCAAGCATCACATTTATGTAAATACTAATAGCCAGTTGCACTTTTAAAATGTTCAGAGAAAACAATGTCTTTATTAGTGCTTTGGAAAAAAAATAGGGCTTTTTACTGATCTCTTCTAAATAGTAAAACTATTTCCTCAAAAATAACTACTCCAACAGCAAGAATGGGTGTATTTTTGAGGAAAAACATAGTAAATAGGGTTGGAAGGAATCTAAATGGTCATTTAGTCCATTCCCCAGCCCCAGGGCACAATCAGCTACACTTACACCATTCTCAGGCAGACATTCGTCTAACCTGTTCTTAAAAACCACCCATGATAGAAATTCCACTGTCCTCTCAGGTAATCTATACAAGCGCTTCACAAGCCCTTCAAAAAGAAATTTTCTTCCCAGTCTCTCACCTGGACTTCATTCCTGGTATTAAACCTAATTATCTACTGTTTTGTTCCCATTGAACATGGAGAGAAGTTATTTCCTTCTTCTTTGTAGGAATTGCTCAATCCCATGTATTATTATGGGATTAGCCCTACTAAAAGACTATGCTTCCCTCCACCACACAGTAAAATGCCATAAATAAAGATTAATTCACTAAAGTAGCATATCTGCACTATAACTGTAAATAAATATATTAATATATTCACAAAATACTGTTCAGAGAAGAGGAACTATTACCATAAGAGGAACAGAAAAAATGCCAAATCATTCATTCCCACTCGTCCTCAAAATGCATACAGAAGTCCCTTAACGTATATTTATTTCAGAATATATAAATGATCTGGGAAGTATGATTGAGCAAAACTTGACTGCTGCTCATTTCTTAATGTTTCTTCAAAAAAAGTCTCTCAGAAAGAAGACTCCTCCTAGAGTGCAAATATCTTAGAGAAGTCAGAGCATCCTCTATTTACCTGTGCACTTGCGAAGGAAAATGAAAATGTCTGAAGCTCCACCTTTCAAGAACCTTGTGAAACAATCTGGGAACTGAGCCAACATCTACTCTCTCACTATATAAGACTCGAGAGCAGACAGGTATTTTCTCAGAGGCAGGTTGTTCGGTAGTTCCTACCGAACTTCCCAGAAGATGGGCATAGGTGGTGGGACACGAATACCACTATGGATATCAATACTAGCACTTGCCTTCGCCCAGATCAAAGGTAAGAGGACTTACTTGCTTTGCATTTTTACTGCTCTGAAGAATTTATAATCCGTTTGAAGTTTGAAACAATTTTCTTGGCTTTGTGAAGCTACAGAACTTTTTAACTTTATACCATTTTTTTATTTTCTATTACAAATACTTTCCTTCCTAAGAAGAAAAATACAAACATCTTCAAAGTTCATAATCTATTCAAGATTCTTACCTTATTTTCTCTAGATGAAATCTGGAATAGCTGAATTAGTGAATTTAACGGAGCTAACTCATATTTCCATCCAAGTACCTCAGATTATCATTTAGTCTTTGATGTCCGCTTCATAAGGTAGAGCATTTGCAAATGCATGGAGCAAAAAGCATAAAAATGGCTTTAGAAAGAAGCAAATTAGTGGAATCCTTTCACATTATTAACAATTTAGGTTGTTCTATCAGCTGATGGTACACTATGGAAAAAAGGGACTTCTGTTTTAAAAATGTTGGTCAACATATGGGTTCATCTGTTATTACACACAAGATTTTATAAAAGGTCAGTGCACAGGTTTATTTTTTTCAAATAAGTAAAAATTTTGTTTCTCTCAGATTGGAATTTATAGTGCCTTAAATTTTTGGGATTCATGATGCCTTAATTATTCTACAAAGGCACTTAATACAGCCAGATGGAAACTCTTCTTTTTTTTTATTAATACTCCAATTCCCCTTAGAGTTAACATAACAATGCTAGTTTGAATGCATTTTGATCTCAGATCCCAGTGTCCTACTTCCTGGGAATTTCACACTAACTTAAATTTAAAAGCTATTTTTTTAAAGAACACCACACCAAGAAGCTGTCTTAAACTTACCATGCTGTGCTAAGGAAATGAGGATCTGTGATGCGTGTGGCATGAGGTGTATGGTGTGGGTGTTGGTACCAGACAGTCAATAGGAAGACGAGCAAAAAGCTCTTTGGGGCTAGGAAGCTAAGGAAGCTGAGCCCAGCAGCACAGACTGGTTTTACCTTTCTAAAAGCAGCACAACATCTCCTTCCAAAACCAGATGCAGACACCCAAGTGGTACAACAGGGAAGGCACTATGTATCTCACCTCATGTCCAAATTCAGTTAGGCCCCCTAGCAGTATTGCCTATTGATTGCTCTGTGGGATCCAGCTGACCTCCTGTCTGGCATTTCTAACTCTCCCCATCCAGCATACCTTCTCCTGCATTCTGTTCTCTGCGTGATAAGAGCCCTTTGCTCTGGCGCAGTAGGGCTACTCAAGGCACTGCAAATTACATGTGCTGTTATGGAATGGAATGGCATGGAATGACATGGACAAAATGATTTCATCACTGGAAGCAAAAACTTTCGCTTTGTGGCGTAATCAACAATAGCAAACTATCTTTTGGAAAGGCCTGACTCTCTCCGTGTGGCTTGTGGGTTTTACTTACTATGAAAAGAGGTTGAAATTGTAAAATACAGAATAACTTTGGATCTTGATGTAACCAGGGCCCTGTTGTATATCAGGGCAGATTTACTGATTTTTGACTCTTGTTCTTTCCGTTCTATCTGTTTGCTCTTTAAGCAGATATAACTGAAAAAAACGGTGAATGTACTCCCGCAAATTAAACACTAGTTTTTCCTCCTCCCCTCTTCTTGTTGCAGTTCAAGTCCAGGGCAGTGAAGCCAAGTACGTTTCTTCGTCTATCCAGCAGCGACAAGACTGTAAGTATTTCTATGCTGATCTACCTCTTTGTCGAAAAAAATAATTAATAAATAAGATTACTAGAATAGGCCTAAAATGGCTATAATATGATGCGTCCTAAAAAAGAGAAAGAAAGAGAAATCCTTGGGTACAGTATACCCAAGTTCCAGCAGATCTCTGACTGCTATAAGATGGAGAAGTTCCTCTGAAATCTGGCCCAATGGATTTGGCCTACTGATGCAAAACTGCTATCTAATCTTTAGTTTCATGAAAGGTACATGCCATCTATCTGAAAGTGTGTTTTCAGAGGGAGTGTGCGCATATATACATATCACAAAAGTACCTGATAGTAGGTAATAAAACATACATTTTTTATGCTGTGTTAAGATGCCACTCTCACGAAAGAACAACAAAAGTGTGACTACTTTCAACTACACTCAAAGATTAAGCACTAAAAGATCATATATATATATAAATAACATTATGACACATACTTCAGTATGTATCAGTATGCATATAGTAACTGTACACAGAAAAAAAGGGGGGAAAGATACAATATGAACTGCTGCAACACTGATTAGAGGCCCAAACCAATGTTGCATAAAAATTTTGACATTTTCTCCCAGTTCTTATTATAAATACATTCTACTGTTTATCTTATCAGAATGAAATTTAATCATTCACCCTGCTGCAATCTGAAATCTGTGAGTTCAATAGCTGGAAGTTAAAACAGTGGTAAACACAAACTGGGAGTATAGTACAAATTGTGTAATAATGGTGAGATCACTTAAACATTGCAACAAATAGGCAAGGAAGCTAGGATATGTCCTTTTCCTTTATATCCTTATAAGAAGACTAAATTAGATTGGCTTTCTAAAACACCAGTCTGTCTTAGCCATCCTTTCGGATATAAATGGAAAAATCAATGCCTAATACTGCAGTTTACAGTACAAAAGTCATCAGACTCCATGATTATGATACTTTCAAGGGAGAAAATACACCAAGTTCTCAAACTCTCATTTTGAGGAAATACACTGTAGGTTCTCTATGCATCATATCTCTTTCATACCTGTAACCAAAGAGAAAACAATAGATTCAGATACGGAAAAATTAGGGCAATCCTGCAAATAGAAGTCCTTTCATGAAAAAGCACACAATTAAAGTTTCACAGAATTTTAAGTGCTTTTTTAAAAAAAAAAAAAAAAGCTTGAATTTTCTGTTTAAAAGTATGTGTTTCCTTCTGCACCGAGAAAGACAAGAACTTCAAAATAGCTGGTGTTTCTCAAGGTACTGTTAAGATTCTTAAGCAATTTTGAGCTTCTAAACTTACCGAGAGGCAAAGGTCCAAATATAGGCATTACCACTGTTTTTTCTGCATTCCTGTAACAATGCTGAACTCTCAGAATCAGATTGTTGCCTTTGAGCTCAGATCAGCAGTACCAGCATCAGATGGGAATCTTGAACAAATACTGGAGAAAAGAACTAGAGTCATACAGAATGGTCTTAAGTATTTGCCTTTTAGTGAAACCCACAGGGAGTGCACAGGGCACTCTGCTAAAGCACCAGTAAAACCTCATGGAAACTCTACCTAGCAGAAGCAAATGTTATTTGTTGAAAGAGACAAGGCAATTTCTATTGCCTTTACACTTTACAAAATTTTTCTTTTTCTTCCTTAGATCTTAATACAGCCGGTACCAAATCAAAAAGAGTGACAATCATTCCACCTCTTCCAAACACATTGTCAATAAAGTGTAAGTTAAAGAAATTTCATGGCTCACATATACGTGTTCATATGGATCATAAAGGCCAGAGTGACTGAACAGATTATGTAAGATCTTTTAGCCTTACAAAATAAAAAGAGAACAACTGAAGTAGTTCATGGGGTAATAAGGACAATTTAAATATGGCCCAAAGCCCAGTTTGTATTTTGTTAATATGAGGCAGTCATGGAAAGGACAAATATAATCCTTGGATATAACATGCACACTATTTCCAATAAAATATAGGAAAATCTTAACAGACTCAAAACATTGATGAGACCTCACGTAGCATATAGGGTACAATTCTGATGACCCATGTGCTGGCAGGGTGAGTAGAAATCTGGAAGAGAGGCAGAGGGGAACTGTGAGGATCATCAGGGAGATAGATAGGAACCTGCTGCAGTAAAATGGAGCCTGAGAATAATGTTATCTATAAAAGGCAGAGGAGATCAGGAGGTGAAACTTCTCCAGAGTAAGGATGGTGCTGGCCCAAGCACAGGCAAACATACAATCTCTAAAAAACCTGGCAAAATCTGCCAGCCCTTAGAAGAGCTGGCAGATTAGAAGGGTTATGAGTGGCCTTCCCCAGAAGGAATATTAGCTAGTTTTGTACTAACTTTAAACTGAATTGTGAAGGTGGAACTTCAAACTTCATACTTTAAAAAAAAAGGGTTTATAGAATACAGTTGTTGGCAAAACAAGAACAGTGAACTGACTCAGTGACCCAGAAGGTCTCAACAAGTCTTATTCTATATATTCTCATGCAAAAAGATAATAAAACATAAAAAATAATCAAACTAGCTAAATAATAGTTAAATAACTAAATAGCTTTATAGGAAGGCAGACAAAAAATGGGCGCTTTTTGGCTGGTGAAAGAAATAAAAGAGGAGAAAACATTTAGATAGGGAAACAATTTAAGGAGGTAACTTCTGCAAATTACAGAAAATTGTAACATCTCATTTTGAATCCACAGCTGGCAATCCCTCTCACAATGGCCGTGTGTGCAGCACGTGGGGTAACTTCCACTTCAAGACCTTTGATGGGGATATCTTTTACTTCCCTGGGGTCTGCAATTACATCTTTGCATCCAACTGCAAGTCTGCCTATGAGGACTTCAATATCCAGATAAGGCGTACAATGGTGGAAAATGCTACCGTAATCACTCACATCATCATGAAGCTGGAGGGAGCAGTGATTGAACTGACCCGCAGTGGTGTCCTGCTTGCTGGCAAGCCGTACGTTTATACTTTCTACTATGCCCTGAAGGTGACATCAGTACTTCTGCTCCCAGCAGGCTCACTGAGGGAGCATCACTTTCCCTCATGTGATCTCAGAGTGCTCCCAAGCAGCTGGAGGACACAGGTCCTTCTTGAAGAGATAGCAGAAATGAGGGCCTGACAGCGACCTAAATACTACTGTATTCATCCAGAGTGTTAAACTCTTATACCCTTTAAAGTTTCTACTTTTCCATTGCCTTTACCGGAATAGGAGCCCTGAGAGGAATTTTTGATGGCTTTTGATCTTTTGGTGAAGAGTGTGCAGTTAAGCAGTGACAGCAGCTTAAATTAGTTATCCTGGAAATGTCCTATTTATGTAGTAAAGTAACATTAACTATGGCATGGTGTGTGAAACCTCTCCAAAAACCTGGGTAAATATTTGGACAGCTATCCCACAGTGATCTGTGTACTATAGCAGCTATGTACAGCAAGTTATAGCAAGTCTAAAGGTTATCTTGGGTACACCTTCTGAATGGCACTCATGTCACACAGAGCCTAAAGAGTCTATCTCTTTATTATAAAGCGCTTTAAGGAGTAAATAGCAATATCCTGAAACAGATTGCCTGCCAAACTGAACCTCACAATATTTTTCTGAACAATATAACCTAAGAATCACTTCAACATTTTACTTGCCAAAACACCATCAACAGAGAGAGTGAAAAGGAACTGCTGTGGAAACAAGGCTGATCCATTTGGGCACTGAGAAACAACTCCATAGGAGGCAGCCAGAACACTACAAAATTGAATTGTCCTTGCTGTAGTTATTGCTGTGACTGATTTCTTATTCATTTTGAAGCGTCTCAGAGAGAATGAGAATGGATATCAGTGCAGATATTCAAGGACTATTCTGCACCTTCCCCCACTGAATTACTGTGATTTTTTTTTTATCCAGGATTCAGCTGCCCTACAGTCAGATGGGAATCTTGATAGAGAAAAATAACAACTACTTGAAAGTTACTGCCAAGTTAGGACTGGTCTTCCTCTGGAATGAAGAGGATGCCCTCCTGGTAAGAAAATATCCAAAACGTAGCAGAAAATCTGCTTTTACAAAATACTCTATTTACATCTCTCTAAACTTAATATTTTAGACAGGCTTTAACTACATTTGGGTTTGTATCCATTTCTAGTGTATTGTGCTCTCCTCCCAATCCTCCTTTCTATTTTCTTTTTCCTTCACCCCAGCTCAGAATCCATATCCCCACAAGTATAGCAGCAACACTCTGATGACCACAGATAAAGTAAGACCAAAGTTTTCTAGGTCATCACTGACATTCATACTGGTGCCCGACTTGTTACCACACCATACTGTCTGCATGGCACACATATGTCAGACTTTTGAATATGCAAGTGATATTAACACAGACTGTTCCAGATGTTACTTTGAACCTAAAGTCACTTTTCTCGTTTCTTTTAGGTGGAACTGGATAAGAAATATGCCAATCAGACTTGTGGGCTCTGTGGAGACTTCAATGGAATACCAATTAACAATGAGTTTATGTCACAGAGTAAGTAATAAAAAACATTATTAAATATTAGCAGTCTGTTTTTCTTTCTTTTAGCAGTATCCTGTGACATGGATTGAGAGTCAGATTAACTGCAAAGTAGTGATAAGTCTGGCATGTACATTCATGATGTTAGTTTTAATATTCATGTAATAGAGACAGGGATTTTAGATGCATTAGGCTGCTCCCTGAACCATTAGCTATTTTAAAAGTTGCCACATGCAATATTCTACTTTTTCCAGTATTTAGGCTTCAGTCTCTTATTTTTGTTATCTCCCTATACAATTCATATTATAGTGATAATATTTGATAATCACTATTCATATCATACCTGGTAGTGTTACAAAGAGAATGTTTCCATGTAAAAGCCAGTAATCCAGCAGATAGTATTCTGATATTTTCACTGCTTTTTACAGGGACAAAATTGACTGCCCTGCAGTTTGGGAACATGCAGAAGATGGACGGACCCACAGAACAGTGTGATGACCCTATTCCTTCTGCTGTTCTGGGGAACTGCACGACTGAATTTGTAAGAATTTCCTTTTCAGAACTTGGGTTGTTTCTTGTTTTGTTTTGTTTTCAATGTAACATACATACTTGCTTGGAGTTTGGGGGAAAAAAAACGTAATTAAGACTGGGAAAAAATACAGCATGAACAGCCTGGAAACAAAATGTTTCCAAATTTAATTTTTAACTCTTTGCCAAAGTGAATGCTAAAAGTTTATATGAATTAAGGGGGAGTAGACATTTTCATGGAAGAGAAATTCAGTAAGAAGTTCCATATAAACCAAATAAGGCTTAGGAAGTCACCTGCATTGAAAGTAGCAGAAAGTGGGGAAATTCACCAAGGAAGTCTTATGTATACTTGCCATATTGTTACATTTTTCCCTACGTATCTGTTTTTAGTCAGACAGGATTCTGAGCCAGATGGACATTTGGTCCATGGTATGCTATAGTGTATTTCCTAAATAAAATAGTTTCTTTTTTTCTAAACACTCTTGTTTTATCTTCTCTGTTTTCCTTCCCAGGGTTCTATCTGTCAAATAGTATTAACTAGTGAAGCATTCAAAAGCTGTAATGTACTTGTGGATGTTAAGGACTACATTGAAACTTGCATACAAGACTTATGCCATTGTGATAACTCCATGGCTGATTTCTGTATGTGCAACACCTTTGCTGAATACTCCCGGCAGTGCGCTCATGCAGGTGGACAGCCTCTGAACTGGAGGACCTCTGAACTGTGTCGTAAGTGTCTTGGGAAGGGACTTTCACTTATGCTCGTTACCCACGTGTGATAAACTCCACTTATGTGAAATTTAACCTGAAGTAGACAGCTATTAAAAGGCCCATGTAAATTCATGAAATCAGTTTTATCCTCATTATACTCAAGACTTCGGGGTTTTAGAGGATTTTGCTTTTCCAAGGAGCTTCAGTGTTTAGCCAGAGCTCTAACAAGTTGCAGATATTAATGTCCTCACTTGGATCAGGATTCCCCATTACAACTCAACAGCAAGCGTTCTAGATCATAAAGACTGTTTTCTCAAGGTTTCAAAGGAAAAGTCAGCATTACACTGTTCTTTCTACTTTCAGCCAAATCATGTCCTTTCAACATGCAATACCAGGAATGTGGCTCCCCATGCTCTGACACCTGCACCAACCCTGAACGATCTGCACTTTGTGAAGATCACTGCATGGATGGCTGCATCTGTCCTCCAGGCAAGCTGACTTCCTACATTTTTCTCATGTCAAAAGTGCTAGTACACATTTAGCAACTTTCCTACTCTTTATCATTCACATCACACTCACAGTAACAACCACGTTCTTTGTGTGATCTAATCCATTTTGCCATCTTGTCATCTCATAATTCTAATCCTAATTCTCATCTAATGAATATCATAATAGAAGAGTATTTCCCTACTGATCTGCTATGATCACCTTAAGATTTTAGCTGCCCTTCAACTGAATATAGCCCTTCAAGCTCTATATAGCTGACATGCCATTATTTCAAGATGCTTATTCTTCATTTTCCTTGCAATAGAGAAGAAATGCTGCATACTTTAGCATCTCCCGCCTGCGTACACCAAAGCAGGTTCTACAGTGCACATCTGAATGAGTAAAAGACTTTTTTTTTTTCCTCTAGGAATGGTATTTGATGACATTAATGGTGCTGGTTGTATTTCCCGTCAACAATGTCACTGTACCTATGAAGGCGAAATTTATGCTCCTGGTGCCTCTTTCTCATCCAAGTGCAGATCATGGTAACACACTGCCTTCTTCATACTGCTTTAGATGCATTACCTGAACATTTTGAAGGCAGGGAAACATTAGCAATTACTTCTTGAAAAGAAATTAGGAAATATCTGCCAATTTAAGTCTTTTGACTTAAGCATTTTTTAAAATAAGTACTTAAATCTTCTTTTATCTTCATACATGAAAGCAAAATTTTAAGTTTATATATGGGCACTCCCATTCCAAGACCAATTACCTAAGAAAGACTGGAGGCTTCAGTGTTTAAAAATGTAAATTGCTGTGTCATATGTGTAAATGCCTCAGCAGCACTACCATGTAATAACAGGACAATCATGTAAATACTACTGGGGGCAAAACGTTCAGGAACATGTTGCATTAGATGGTTGGGAGATCATGTTTGAGAGACATTTGACAGGCATGGTATATACTTTAAAGTTTTAGTGTAGTTACAGAAATATTATTCTGTAAGTGTAAAATTTATCTATTTAGCTCTCTGTGAATACAAAAACATGGATGTGATTTTCACACTAATGGAGACGAAGGTCTCTCCTTCATATGCAGAAAAATGGATTCCAGAACACACAGAATTCACTAGGACTGAATTTTGTCCAAGAAAGGACTGCCAATCAAAGGCCTTAACTGAAAAAAAAAATCACTAATTTAAATATGCCTTTTCATACTCATTCTGAGACTTCAAAGCAATGCTGATTCTTTGTAAGCAATCATGCGTCTCCAAAAGACAATATGAATAATACCTCAGAGGAAAATAAAGGTATCACCTTGCCTTGTGTCTTTTATATGTGCATGACCCAAGCTTACTGAATGCCTTCATCATTTTAGTACCTGTGCTGGAGGTGAGTGGACTTGTGTCGCCCAGTCATGTCCGGGGACTTGCAGTATTGAAGGAGGTTCCCATATCTCAACATTTGATGAGAAGCATTATTCCTTCTTTGGAGACTGTAGCTATGTCCTGACCAAGGTAAAAATGAGTCACGTTATTATTTGGCACACTATGCTAAAGAAAATGGTTTTATTAAATACAATGCCACTTAATTAAAACTGTTAATAATGGCATTAACTTTCTGTAATTTATGCATCAACACTGAACCTTAAATGGATTTAAGTAGGCTTTCAGTACTATTCATTATAGTAAATGAATATAGTGTAGTATTTTTGTGTATTTTGACCAGCATTTAATAATTTCACTGCATTTTTAGGTTCTGTGCAATAATCTCTATGCTTTCCATTAATATAGTTCAGGCCCCTATTTGATTAGCAGTATTCATATTGGAATTATTATGTAGAATTCAGAGGAGGTAAGTTGGTTGTTTCATATATGATGATCAGTCTTTCAACTAGTTTTCCCAGTGAATGTATAAAGCTCCAGAGTCTAAAGCAAAAAGCTAAGATGTCACAGAGGTATTCTATCATTTATAAATAATTTACAGGAATAGTTAGGATATACTGGATTTTTTACATTATTAGAGACTAAATTCTGAGCAAGTATGTCTAAATAAGTAACTTCAGATTTGCAAATTTCAGAATCTTGATTATATTTATTGTTGATTTGTATAGGGTGAGTGATGTAAACTTGTCATAAAGGCTTATAAATAAAAAATGCTCCCAAAAGAATCAAACTGAATATTGCCAAAAAAAGAGAAAACCACTAGGTCTCAGAAATGAGGTAATTTAGACATAACAGAGGCTAAATCAATGAAAGTCTTCTGTAAGAATCAAAAGTATGCAGCTAGGTCCACAATGGGACGCAGATCAGATTTATATGCTAAACTCTCCTTCAGGCACTGATATCTAAAATTAGTCTCAGAAGCTCAAGAAGTTCAAAAACACCTAATCCTGCACACAAAAGGTCCTAAAAATCGATGAGTTTGACAGTGAGTTACTATATAGAGTTAGTGCTACATCTCAGCTTTCCTCCAGTTAGTCTTGACAATACCAAGAAAGTCCTAAGATATGTTCAGATGTATAGTGTTCGGCACGTTTCCCTGTAATGTGCCCATTATGCACACGGAACACATGCTCTAAAAAATCATGATCAGGAGAAAATCTGCATTCTTCTTTATTAGCTTAGTGGATAGTGGTTTCAGTTCCTTTTTTTTTTTTTTCCCCTATGAGAGGATATTTAAATGGATATCTCCTTCCTATTAAAAGAATGTTCAGACCATCATTTTTTTTTGGCACTCAATCTGTTCTGCGCAGAGAAGACTGGGAATCATTTTACCTGTCTCTTAGTTAAATGCCTTAACTGATGGGCAAGAAGGTCACACTTGATCTGTCTTCTCTAGAGAACTCAACTAGCATTACCTAAGCATTAGGAAGCTTTAACATTCAGTTTAATGTGTCTAACTTTTCTTTCTGTTTCTAACCTTTAATGTTGGAAATAATGTATAGATTCTACCGCGCAGCATGCGTAAATGCCCACTTACTTTGGTGACTGTATACGGTTATATAAGGCCATATGAGCAGGAAGAAAAACAATAAACAATATTAAGAGTCACTTTACTAAGAATGCCATTTGAGCGTGATCCTTTGTAAGACACTAGGCATATTTTCCTTTTTTCTTATAGCTCTGTGACAGCAACGATTTCACTGTTTTGGGAGAAATCCGTAAGTGTGGCATGACTGACACCGAGACGTGCCTCAAGGGTATAGCCATCAGTATAAGTGGAGGACAAACTGTAAGTAGCAAGGGCGAACACCTAACATTCTGCAGGGATGTTTTCAAAATTGAATAGACTGCTGCAAGTGACAAACAACAGCATGGATTAGAAAACTACATCTTGTTTTGTACATCTTGTTTTTATCGTACTTTAATCAAAGAAAAATAAGACTAAAGTCCGTACTTTGGAAGTTAAGATTCTCCTAGTACCCTGTCATTAGTTATCTATCTTCTTTGTTTGCTCTAATAGTCAATGGGCCACTATCACAAAGAGCAGAGAAATAGTACAGAAATCATAAAATCATCAAAGCTCTTCCATTTTCTTTTCCTTAATGCTGAACTGTACTACTTAAAAAAATAATTTGGAATGTAGTTTTATCTGTCCTACACATGCTTACTAATTGCCTTTTCCTTTGAACAGAACATTCTGATCCAGCCTTCTGGCAGTGTATTTGTGAATATGATCTACACACAATTGCCATTCTCTGCAGGTAAGTTCCTTTGGAAATTTTTGTGGTAGTTGTTGCCTTTGACTTTAAAGAGTTATTATATTGCTTTATTTAAAGCCAATTCTACCTTTAGTTACATAGCAGCAACCCCAAGGAACTCAATCAGAATTTAATCTCTAATCTTAATAGGGTAATCTTAAAGTAATAGGGTTTGGCTGTATGAAATTATATCTGTTGTATTGTTTCTCCCTAGCAAATGTTACCATCTTCAGGCCATCATCTTTCTTCATCATTTTGCAAACAACCTTTGGTCTTCAGCTAGAAATTCAGCTTGTGCCTATCATGCAAGTTTTTATAAATGTAGATCCATCACATAAAGGGCAGACCTGTGGTAAGTAACCTTATGATAACAACTGCCTTCTCACTATGCTTGGTTCTGTTGGAGACTTTCACAGCCATTGCACTTACTTTTAGGTCTCTGTGGAAATTTCAATGATATCCAGACAGATGACTTCAAAACAACCAGTGGTGTAATAGAAGGTACTTCAGCTGCCTATGGCAACACATGGAAAACTCGAGCTGACTGTCACGATGCTAAAAACATCTTTGAGAACCCCTGCAGCCTCAGCATAGAAAATGGTAAGCATATAGTAACCTCTCCTTTTTTAAGATAGAAGGAAGAAATAACCTAATCAACAACTAAACATTTAAACTGAAATAACAATGGACCATTTTCACACTATTTTTCTCAGAAGACACTAGAAGTATTCAGTTAATAAATAATAACTTTGGTCTAGTGTATAATTTGGGATGTTCAAAAATATTCTTTTGTTATAAGACAGCAAGTGTTGGGTTTTGTTTTCTTTTTTTTTAATTTTTTGACAGTTACTTAAGACAGTGTACAATGGATTCATTCCTGGAAACCACTGAGTGCCATAGAGAAAAGAATCTGTATATGGGCCCACTGAAGGCTGGACCCAGTGTAATCTTTCTGTTGTCAAACTTTGAGCTGAACTTGTAATTAATCAGTTCTTAGCTCTTAGGTTTCACTTCAACCAGTAAAATACCAACCTTTTCATCATCCACAAGCCACCCTTCTGGCTTCTAGGCGGAGCTAGTGTAGTGTAGTGTAGTTTAGTGCACAATGGGAATCTTTATCAAAATGTAGCTATGAGTATTTTGTGTATTTCATGACAAGTACAATGAACTAACTAGATTCATTTTATCAAAAAATCTTATTTCTGTATAGAGGAAGCAGAAGACTGCTTTTTTTTTCAGGAAAAGGTAGATTTCCCTGCAATTTTCCTGAATGAAGTATAGTTACAATGAGAAAAAAATAGCCAATGAAGCACAATAAAAATTCTTAACATGTTCTAAATTCACAGACCAGTATGCTCAGCACTGGTGTGGACTGCTCTCTGATACCACAGGACCTTTTGCTGAATGTCATTCAACAGTTAACCCAGAAGTTTACCAGAAGGTACTTGGTTTATAACTTGTTCTTGTTTAAAAGAATGAGATGCACATTCCTGATATGAACACCTGAGAGAATAATTTGTCAATTGAGAGGGTCTGTTTGAAACAAAGTATTCATGATTGTCCTTTTTTTAGCCAACAGTTATTTTTTTATCTATGCATCACAATACTCAGTTCTTTGTGAAGCTATCTCTCTTTCCAAACTTACAGGGTATTTCTGTTGACCGTAATATTAGGCACTAATCTAAATGTCTAAGCTAGGAGCTTGGATTCTCTGTCAGGTTAAAGGATCCCCTCCTGAGACATGTAATTAAAGTTTTAGTCAGGAAGCTTAAGTAGTACTTTACTTAGTTGCTCTGAACCCCTCTCAGGAATCACCTACTTTTGCATATATCCAAGGTCAAGACAAGAATGCATATAGCATGTAAAAACCAGTGAAGAGATTTAGATAAGATGTGAACAAAATTGCTCCATGAGTTCAAGGTGGTGAAGTTCTGGAATTGTAGGGCTCTAACTGCTATCCCTTGTTGCCAGGAATCTTTTCCACAAGGTCTCCTGGCAATTTTTAAGTGAAAAGCAGGCATACATTTGCTTGCGTACCTGGATCACATTGCTTTTAGTGCCAACAAATTTGATTGTGTAAAAACTATAAAGAGACATTACTTCGAGATGACAATCTGATGATCACATGCTATCCTGTGTCCCTAGAACTGTATATTTGATACCTGTAACTGTGAGAAAAGTGAGGACTGCATGTGCGCTGCTCTTTCAAGCTACGTCAGGGCCTGTGCTGCCAAAGGAGTTCTCCTTGCTGGATGGAGGAGCAATGTCTGCAGTAAGTTCCACATTCCTTTGTCTGTTCAAAGTGATGTTCAAAGTGATCATCTGAAGGTCTCACAGATCATTTTTCAAGACACACAGGATTCCCACACCAAACTGTGTTACATTGTGTTTTTGGTATAACAGTATGAATAAAATAAGTAGGCTCTCTCTAATTTCACCTTTACAATAAATATTTTTGTGGAAGAAGGAAAATAAGCATAAAGAAAAATGATACTTATGTGTTAATGTAATTTAACTTATTTCCTTTGACCTAGTTAAAAAACAATGGTATTTATGGCACTTAAAAGTGTAGAGATAAATTTTCATCTAGAAGTACAAAAAATATTTACTCACCTTATTTTACTCTCTCAAGAAAAATACACCACTTCATGTCCCAAAACCTTGAAGTATACTTACAATGTTGATACCTGTCAACCCACTTGCCGATCTCTGAGTGAGCCTGATGTCACATGCAACATCAAGTTTGTCCCAGTTGATGGCTGCACCTGTGTAAACGGAACCTACATGGATGAAAGTGGCAAATGTGTGCCTGCTTCTAGCTGTCCCTGTTACTACAAAGGAACCTCTCTACCTTCTGGAGAAGTTATTCATGATAATGGTGTTGTATGGTAAGAGATTTGTAAACAAAAGACTGAAATAGCTATGGACAATTATGAAATGATGTCTAGCAACTGCAATCTATCCAAATCCAAAGAGTTTCTCTCCCTGATAAATTCAATGTGAAAAACCACAAATTCTTGGAAATTGTTATTGTGATCTGTGTTTGTAAAACTGCAGCTAGACTAGTGCAATAATCCAACAAACCATACTTTCCTTATCCCTGACCTTAAAAGACTTCTTCATAGGGGCAAATGCAATAAATTTGATAATCCATTAGAATTAACAGCATGAGTCAAATCTGGAATACTCTAAAGGACGATTTAAATCAGACAAACATGTCAAACATTCAACAAACATGTTCTTACAGAAAACCCACTTGCATTTTGGACAGCTCAAACATAAAGTACATGTAAATAGCACAAAGTTGTACTAAAGAACATGTTTTCTCTGTTTTATCATGTGGTGATTTTTCAGTAGTTCAAATTCCTTAGGAAACAAACTGAAACCTATCAAGAGAAGCAGATATAATTCCCTTCTGTTTTCTTACAGCAATTGCATCCGTGGAAAGCTGAGCTGCATTGGAGGGAAAACAGAAGAAGGTAAAATATCACTTAAGATGTCCTTTACTTCTCCATCTTCCAACTTTTCAGATTGCTCTCTTTTGTCGTAGTGATATAAATTGCTTAAGATTGAAATCAGTCATGAAAATAAACTAATGAGCTTGGTAACATAGTGAACATTTCTGAAACATAAAGAACTACATGGTTAATTTTCAAATGTTAGAAAAAAGTTGTAATAGGGTTATCCAGGTGAAAAGAACATTTAGTCACTGCTTAATATATTCAATATGAGGAAAAGAACTTCCGCATTTCATATAAAATTACTGAAAGCCAGTCTTTTATTTGTTGCTTTTTTTTGCTGAAATGAAGACTTGCATGAAGTTAACTAAACATTAATTTCCATGACAATCAAAAAAAAAAGCATAAAAAAAAAGATGGTCTCAGTTCAGTTTCGCTTTCTGGTTAAATGAATCCTAGTAGTGTACTCCTCACAAAGGACTCTGTTTTTCTGCATTAGGTATACACAGAGGAATAAATACATGTTTGGTCTCACATTTCTCATGGCTTTTCTCTCTTCTAGTCTGTGCACCTCCCATGTTCTATATTGACTGTGGCAATGCCACGTCAGACATAATAGGAGCTGAGTGCCAGAAGAGCTGTCAGACTCTGGACATAGACTGCGTAAGTATAGACTCTTTAGGAATATTAAAGTTAGAACCATATTAAAGTAGATTTCTCTTCCACTTACCAGCTGTAGATGGACCTCAGGGCAGTATATCAATGCATGTTTTCTGCATGGTCCTTACAGTACAGAACGCAGTGTGTCTCTGGCTGTGTATGTCCTGGCAATCAAGTGCTGGATGACAAAGGTGGCTGTATAGCTGCAGAGGACTGTCCATGTGTTCACAATGGGAATTCCTATCATCCAGGAGAGTCAATCAGAGTTGGCTGCAACAACTGGTAAGAACATTATTGAAAAATACTATTTTTAAGCATCTGAAAGGGGATAGTTTAGGTGAATTACAGCTTTTCACACTCATAGCCTCCAAATTAATGATAGCCCGTAGAACCCTATACAAGACGCTCCACCTAAGAAGCATGACCTTTTTGTTTTTTTACAGTGCCACACAGCAAGTGGTCAGAAGAACAATAGGTTTCGGATTTTTTTTCCTCTCAGGTTACAGGCAATCCCTGTATTTCAGTACATCCAGTAAGATTCCGAAACATGAAAGATTTAACATCTTTCCTAACTCAAACAATTCATGATATAATGAAGTAACAGTCTTTTTACACATCCCAAAGACTCTAGAGCTATGCTTTGTTTCTGCTATAAACAAGCAAACTTGACTTTTTCATTATAGACATTACATTTTAAACTCTGATGAATGTGCATGCAGAAATGTATAGATATTGTGTGTATATATACGTTTCTAACATTCGGGGTGCTTTTCATCTCATGTAGCACATGTATAAATAGAAAATGGCACTGCTCCGAAGAACCTTGCCTAGAAACCTGTTCTGTTTATGGAGATGGGCATTACACAACCTTTGATGGCAAACGTTTTGATTTTGAAGGAGACTGTGAATATGTTCTGGTCCAGGTAACAGAGTGCTTTCCAGGATTTTGCACTGTTGAAACATTTTGCATGTGCCCAGCATCATTAACTTTGAATATCGTTCACCTTTTCAGAACTACTGTGGTAAAAAAAGTTTGAATCAGGGAACCTTCAGAGTCATCACTGAGAACATTCCATGTGGTACTACAGGAACCACTTGCTCTAAGTCTATTAAAGTATTCATGGGGGTAAGCATTGTCTTTAATAAGTTGCTCCTGGGACCTTATATGCTGGAACAGCCTCTCCTAGATAGACTGTATTGTAAAAGTGTCCATGAGTGAAAATGTTATTACATTTCCTTGCTCACTGTCAACAATTTTGCCCACTGCTATAGAAAACAAAGTAGAGAATTCTACAATGAAATTGCTAAAATTAGTTGTTGAATAGAATCATTTTGTTGGTAATAAAACTATTTCAACAATAGCTACTACCAAAATATAAAATCAGGCACAACATCTGACTTACTTACTTAATTGGCTTCTTACTTTTTCTGCCTCTGTCCCAGAACTATGAGTTGGTGCTCAGTGATGGACACTCTGATGTCATCCAGAGGACACCTGGAGGAAAAATGCCGTTCCAAATCCGTTCCATGGGCATCTACTTGGTGGTTGACACTAATGTTGGCCTGATACTTATGTGGGACAAGAAAACCAGTATATTCATCAAGCTTAGCCCTGGCTTTAAGGTACGTGTTAAAAGCCAAAATGTGAAGCTGTTTTTTCTGACTTATTTTCATATTATGTCTTAGAGAAAAAAAAGAAGGAAAATAAGATTACAACTGGAAGATTGAAAGAAAAACAATTACATATTATTATCCTTGCAGTCCTGGTGTAGATTTTGTACTGAATGTTTTCCATAAATTATGTTATTCAGCATAACTGATAACATGTTATTGCATAACTACAGCTACATGAATAACTTTCTTCATGAAAAGCCATCGGTAAAGAGGTATGTTCAGAATTTGATAAAGCTAACTAGCTCAATACTAGCAACAAAACCCAAGTCTTCTCTGCTTCTTTCC